GGGTTTGCATCTCATGAGAGTATTAAAAGATATCCTTTTAGAATTTGTAAATTTCCCTTTGTATAAAGGAAAATTTCCCTTTCTATAAAGCTATTTTTTGGTAAAGTAAAGCCATTTGTTCCTATTTCAAGACTGTTTTTTCTGATCATAGACTGCACATGCAGAAGAAATCTTTTTCATGCACGACAGTATGGTCCCGATTCATAATTCTTTTTAACATTTTATACGGCCAAGGCTTTCTTGGGGTGTCAACATCTCAAAATTAGAAATGAATTTTTATTTTAATCTAGCGCATCGAGATGATAAATTAAAGAAAAAATTATTTAAATTTATAGAGATTTTTGTTCATAAGAGTGACACGATTTCAATATCATACGTTTGAAGCAGGACTGAAAGAGAGGACAAAAACTAACACGATATGTTACCGATTCCAAATTTATTAACATCGTCAAGTGCAATATATCGACACAGATGTCAATATAATGTGAATTACAAAGGCAAAATGTACAGAAGTCATCAATATAATATGTTGGACTTTTCTGAGCAATGAATAATTTTTTGTTCAATAATACTTGCACGAGTAAGATAAAGAGAGTATTTGGAGGAATTTACATTTTCTTTTCAAAGGAAAAAAACTGACTTCGTTCAGTGTAATTAATTCATGTTATGTTTAAAGTACTTTTAAAGCTGAAAATGAGGAAACAAATATTGCTTGCTTTGACTCAAAATGTGTCCAAAAACTCTTCCTTCGTAGATTGATTTGGTCCCATCTCTTGGAGTTGTAGTTTTCACAAGTGCGGTACAGGAATCTCATAATTGGAATTGTGGGGGTGGGATGATGTCTGTTAGTGCAGATGAAAAATATTTTGAGAATGCAGACATGACAAAGCTTGAAATCCCACCATCTGAGATTGGCTTCACAAAGTGTTGTCGTAGAGGAACGATATCTAGAGGTGTCAATTGGACTGGAACGATCTGAAGTCTACATATTACTTTCACATTGCTAAAGTTCTCCTTTCCTTTTTTCTTAAAATACATCTCACACAAGTTGTGGAGTCTGACAATTAGGTTTCGCTCGACCCTAGTCTATACATAGGCTTGCCCAGAACAATTTTCAAGCGAAAGTCGAGCTTTCGCCGTGCCAAGCCATTCAAGTTTGGCACATATCTATGTTTGACACCCATTTTTTTTTCTCATTCCATTTTTTCTCTTTCCTCATTTCAACCACGCATTCTTCAAATAAAATAATATTACACACAAATAACAAATTTAAAAAATTTCGTCACTTTTCCACTACATATTCTCAAATCAATCACTATTCCAAAATTTTTATTCTCATAAAAATGAGATTCAAACACAAGCAGTTCAAATCGAGCACATTTTGATGCTTCTATTGACATCTAGAGTGTCGTACCCTACCTTAATTTTTAAACCTCAAACCCAACATATTTTGACACATTTGTTAACATTTTTCTTCACCCAATAAATTAAGCTTCATGATAAGATGTTAAACTCTCGTTATCAAGACTTAACAAGTCTATATTATACTGCATCTTGTGAGGTGGGGTGGCATGGCGTGGAAGCAATAGTACAGATGGCTCAGCCCCATTGATTAAGACATCTCACGTAAACATGGGTCCCACTTACCTTCTTTTTTTTATTATTATATAAGGTTACTTCAGTGTCCTTAAGATAAAACCAAGTGGAGAGACAGTACTTTCATAGAATTTTTACTGCCAGGACCGTGTTCTACCCCCTTTTTTTTCAACTGCAAATGAAAACTTGACGAGCGTAAATTTGTAAAGATTCTGTCAAAAAAATCTGTACAGCTTGATTCTTATTGTTGTCACTTGCTATGCACAATCATTCTTATTTGGGGAAATTGCATCCACGGTAACAAACATTTTAGATTTTTGCAGACTTTGTCCAAATCTTTGTTTTGTACCACCCATGATGCTAAACTTTTAAAAAACCCGCACCCACAGCTCAAATTGGGGGTTTCCGTCCAGTTGATCGTTAGTTGACCAAAAATAGTAGATTTGACCAAATTTTAAAAGGGCAAAATGATAACTTTCATTTTTCATATAAAAAGAACTAAAATAAAATAATTAAATCAAAAACCAAAAAATCATATTATCCACCCACCCCACCCCACCCCACCCCACCCAACCCAACCCAAAACCAAA